CTCATCCTGCACTTGTCCGCCGTAACCTTCGCTCCCTCTCCCCCTCTACCTTTGCCTCGTCGGTGTTCTCAGCCCTCCCTTCCTCTGACTCGTTCCAACTCCTGCCTCCAAACTCTGCTGCAGAAACTCTCCTCTCTACTCTCTCATCCTCTCTGGACTCTCTCTGTCCTCTCACATCTCGGCAGGCTCGTCAGTCCCCTCCTGCTCCCTGGCTAAATGATGCACTGCGTGCTAATAGAACCGTCCTTAGGGCAGCAGAGCGGAAACGGTGGAAATCCAAACACCGTGACGACCTCCTAACCTATCAAGCTCTCCTCTTTCTCTGCTTCGATCTCTCAGGCAAAAAGCACTTTCTTTCAAGATAAGATCCAATCTTCCTATTCCAATCCTAAAAAACTATTCTCCATCTTCTCCACCCTCTTGGACCCTCCAAAAGCCCCTCCCCCCTCCTCACTTCTGTCAAGCGACTTTGTTACCCACTTTGAAAAAAAGGTTGATGATATTCGCTCTTCTTTTTCTGACTCACCTTTACTCACCGCTGGGTCACCAGGCCCTCCTTCCACCAACACACTAACCTCCTTTTCCCCTCTCTCTCCAAGTGAGGTTCTTACCCTCATTACCTCTGCCCGCCCTACCACCTGTCCTCTGGACCCTATCCCTTCAAACCTCCTTCAGACTATCGCTCCTGATATTCTACCGTTTCTCACCCACTTCATCAACACTTCTCTAACTTCTGGTCACTTTCCAAACAGTCTCAAGGAGGCAAGAGTAAACCCTCTCCTAAAGAAACCCACTCTCAACCCGTCTGATGTTATAAACTACAGGCCTGTCTCTCTCATCCCGTTCCTGTCTAAATCACTTGAACGCGCTGTCTTTAAACAACTCTCCTGTTATCTCAATCAGAACAACCTTCTGGATCCGCACCAGTCTGGTTTCAAGGCAGGTCACTCCACAGAAACTGCTCTCATTGCTGTCACGGAAGAACTGCACACTGCCAAAACTGCATCCCTCTCCTCTGTCATCATCCTGTTGGACCTGTCTGCTGCATTCGACACGGTGAATCATCAGATCCTCCTTCGCACTCTCCAAAAACTTGGAGTTTCAGGCTCTGCACTTTCCCTCCTCACCTCATACCTGAAAGACCGTACCTACAGGGTGACTTGGAGAGGGTCTGAGTCCGACCCTTGTCAATTAACTACAGGGGTCCCTCAGGGCTCTGTTCTTGGTCCCCTCCTCTTCTCCTTGTACACAAACTCGCTCGGATCAGTCATTAGCCCGCATGGTTTTTCTTACCACTGCTACGCTAACGACACCCAATTAATTCTGTCCTTTCCCCGCTCAGAGACCCAGGTCGTCGCACGCATCTCTGCTTGTCTCTGCTTGTTGACATCTCTCAGTGGATGTCTGCTCATCACCTCAAGCTCAACCTTGACAAGACTGAGCTGTTCTTCCTTCCGGGAAAAGATTGTCCCACTCTTGACCTAACAATCAACATCGGCACCTCAGTTGTTTCCCCGACTCAGACTGCAAGGAATCTGGGTGTGACCCTAGATAACAACCTGTCCTTCACTGCAAACATCGCTGCTACAACCCGTTGCTGCAGATACACGCTTTACAACATCAGGAAGATACGTCCCCAGCTGACACAGAAAGCGACTCAGGTTCTGGTCCAGGCTCTCGTCATCTCATGCCTAGACTACTACAACTCCCTCCTGGCTGGTCTACCTGCATGTGCCATCCGACCTCTGCAGCTCATCCAGAATGCAGCGGCTCGTCTGGTCTTCAACCTTCCTAAATTTTCCCACACTACTCCGCTCCTCCGCTCCCTCCACTGGCTTCCGGTAACTGCTAGAATCCACTTCAAGACACTGGTACTTGCTTACCATGCTGCGAATGGATCTGGCCCTTCGTACATCCAGGACATGGTTAAACCGTACACCCCAGCGCGTGCACTACGCTCTGCATCAGCCAAACGACTCGCTGCGCCCTCGCTGCGAGGGGGACCCAAGTTCCCATCGGCGAAAACACGTGGGTTTGCTGTCCTGGCTCCAGGATGGTGGAATGAGCTCCCCATTGACATCAGGACGGCAGATAGCTTGCACATCTTCCGGCGCAAACTGAAAACTCATCTCTTTCGACTCCACTTCGAGCGATAGAACTATTAATGAAGCACTTTTATACTAATAAAGGGCTGGCTTATCTAAAGCCAGTTGAGTAGCACTTGAAATGTTTTTGCTCTATGAAGCCTGATGTACTTATATGATTCTGTTTTCTTCAAGTTGTATTTTGTTGGTCGAACGCACTTATTGTAAGTCGCTTTGGATAAAAGCGTCAGCTAAATGCAATGTAATGTAATGTTGATAAATCCTACCGGTATAATGTTAATCAAAGCAGTATGGTTTCCATGAGCACCACCACTTGTGTCGTGGACATCCTGATCTGGCAAGGACATGCAGTTTGTTTTGGAAGCAAGAGAAAGAACAACAACTTATTTTTAATACAAATGTCCTTAATGTAATCTAGCTGTGGATATGTGGGATTCAAATATTTTGGAAAACCTTATTTTAGGCACCAACATACAGCTCCGAAAAAAATTAAGAGACCACTCCAAATGTTTGTTTAACCTTCATCTTTACATGTATGACAGCCATTAGTTTCCAGGTTCAATTCCAACACAGAGAAATGTTGTCAGCAGTTTATAGAATAAAATAAAAATGTTTTCATTTTACTCAAACACATATCTATAAATAGTAAAACCAGAGAAACTGATAATGCTGGTCTCTTATTTTTTGCTGAGCTGTATATTCGTAAATTGATGCTAAATCAATCAATGTTTATTTATATAGCCCAATATCACAAATGTTACATTTGTCTCAGTGGACTTCACAGTTTGTACAGAATATCAGTATGACAATACGACACCCTCTGTCCTTAGACCCTCACATCGTACAAGGAAAAACTTCCAGAGAAAACCCAGTTTAAAGGGAAAAATGGGAGAAACCTCAGGGAGAGCAACAGAGGAGGGATCCCTCTCCCAGGACGGACAGACGTGCAATAGATGCCGTGTGTAAATCGAAGAGATAATACATTTGCAACATAGGTAGATCAAATGTTTGGAAATGCATGTATCTATAATAAGAAGATGAATCCACTAGGATGTCAGCAATCTTGTGGGAGCCATCAGGGAAGTAGTATGGTGAGAGTCAGACAGGACCGCAGAGACAGGTTCAGCCACGACTCGAAGTCCAGGACTCAGATCCAGTGCTCAGGATAGAGGATCCAGGACATACGACCACAGCAACAGGATTAGCCTCGACTCAGGATCCCGGCGTATATATGGACTCAAAAAAGAGATTCGGGGGAAACTGGGTTAATCGGAACATGAGAGTACACAGGTACAAACAGCCAGAAAGACGGAGTAAGGTGCCCCCCTCAACAGTCCAAGCCTATAGCAGCTAAACTAACGTGTCTACATACATGCACTCCCTTAGGATAGGTTGAGGGATAAGGGTAGCAAGTAAGAAGTAGGAAACAGAGGTGGAGAGGCACACACAGGGAATAAGGTCCCCATTGGAACCTGAATTTGTCAGAGGTAGGAGTGGGTCAGTGACTACGTTCCACACTCCCCGGCCGGGCTAGGCGTTCTCTGCAACCTGTTACCCTCTAATAAACCTCGAGAGGTCAGAGAGGGGAAAGGTTTGGATAACGTTTTAAATATAAGATCTAAGTTTTTAGGATTTAAGTGAAAGAGTAAGAACTAAAATGTATAGGTGAACCATGCTAAACCATGTTTCAAAATGTGTTTTCTAAATAAAATAATCATATTTCTTTAAATCCTGCAGTATTCTTTATCCGTTGATTTCCCAACCAAGGTTGACTCTTATATTTATAGTTAGAAATAATTTCCCACACACTGCCAAACTTGCAGTGAAAAAACTTTTCTTTCCGTATATATGACGTTTAGCATATTCAAGAAAAATCCTGACTCTTCCTTTTGCCTATGCTCTATCCCTGTTCCTTTTTCTCTTTCCTGATCATGCTCCAGAATCAGCCATCACCAAAAAGAAAACAATGTAAAAAATTAAATAAATGACTCCTGCTAATGCATAATACTTTTTTGACGGTGAAAGTGTACAAATGATTTAGTGCTGCTTAGGTAATCTAAAAAAATGAATAGCATTAAGCAATATTTTCCAACTTTAAGTTTGTTAACTGCTTGTACATTGTACCAAATATTACAAACCTTACTGTACTTACCAAGGGTACAGATAGTGCTGTTAGCCAGATGAACCCCGAGCTAACAATAGCACTGCGATGCTACGGACATAAAACAGAGTCAGTTAACACACCGTTTGTTGAAATGTAAACACATGTCGATGCACCATTAAATTACAATGACAGAAATCTCATCTGGAACAGCCAACCCGTTTTCAGTTTGGAAAATATGTATGTCTTCATAGCTTAGCGTATAAAGCTCATTGACAAAATAGACTTGGCAGCTAAAAGTTGTAATTAGTCAACTATTAAAAAGTCAAGGTAATTGAAGTTGAGATGAACCACCATCTCCTCTCTTCAGCATGCCGTTGTAAGACACGCTGAGATAGGAGGCCCTTTGAAGTTCAATTGCCGCTGCAAAAGTAAACTTCAGGCACAAAGTCTTCCGTCCTGTGATTATTTGATTGTTGTTTATACAGGACCAGAAAACAGATGAGAGGTCATCTCAACCCAATGCAAAAAAGGCCTGTGTTGTTCAATTCAAAGACAGCAACAGGAAACAGCTTTTATTTGAATCATTATCTACATGTGTGATCTTTGCTGTGCAGATACCATGCAGTGTTTATATACACTCTACGTGCCATTTGGGAAATGGTAGTAATTCTTAGTAATTCACAAATGAATGGAAAGCACATTCAGATTTAACAGCTGCAGCAGAGAAATATATGGATGTATCTCCCAGGTTTTGTTGGGTATTATTCAATCTGCTTATTTTCATGCATTAGGGATCCAGGAGTATGTGGAGGCCGCCTCTTTCCTGCACTATATCCGTCATCGCAGCCTTATCAGCCTGGAGGAGATCAACGCCAGGCTGGTGTTCATGAAATCAGAGAAGGAAGATTCTGAGGTAACTTAAAAGAAGGCTTCCTGGTTAAGTTGCATGCTTGTTAAATAAGCCTAATTCTTATTTTTGTGTTTTTTCTTTACAATTTTTCAATGATTTAAATGTAGTCATTTTGGGAAATACACTGATTTGCTTTCTTGCAATGACTTTGATATAAACCACTCTCATGTCAGTATAGTGTATATGAAGTTACAGCCAGCTGGCCAGTTTCACATTCAGTGTACAGACATCAGGGTAATATTGAACGCCTCATCTCACTACAGCTAAGAAAGCATTTAAATGCGTTCTCCCAACTGTTTCTTTAAAACTATCGTTCTTTTGTATGAAGCTTTTAAACCAGTAGCACTTGCACTCAAAGGCAAGATCGGTTGGTACCCTGTGTTGCATTTATAAGCATTATGTGTCATTTTGATCCACTCAGCCTGGTGTTTTCAAAGATAATAGCTTCCTGTTGATGCCGACAAAATTGCTTGAACTTCAACATATGTAGTAAAAGCATCATCATGCTCGAGAAAGAATGTACTTTGCTTATTTGTGGCTCCGGGCTTTTATAATACTAAAATAATAATAATGCAATTGTGGCTAGACATAAGTGCCTTGACAGTAAGGCAAAAGTTACTAAAATATGATGCTGGATACAACAAATGATAATAAAAACAAAAATCAAGAAGTTGGACTAGAAGCAGAGCTATACAACATAAGCCACCTTTGGTAATCATTGTTTTTAATAATTAATATTGAAAGTAAATCCTGAAGGGTAAGAGTAGGAATCTGCCTAGAAGCTTTGAAAGAAAATCATCCAAATAAGTGTTATAATCTTTGTCAATGTGGACGTTTATGTTTTAATGTTGTATTCTTCCTCACCATGTTCCCCTCTCAGGGCCCTGCTGACACCCTGCAGCCAGGGGGCCAGGTGCTGACCTTCCAGGTGTCGCCCTCCGACTACCTGCTGGGCGTGGCAGACCTGACGGGCGAGCTGATGCGGATGTGCATCAGCAGCGTGGGCAACGGAGACATCGACACGCCCTTCCAGCTGAGCCAGTTCCTGCGGCAGATCCACGACGGCTTCTCCTACATCGGGAACACGGGCCCGTACGAGGTCTCCAAGAAGCTGCACGTGCTGCGCCAGAGCCTGGGGAAGGTGGAGGACGCCTGCTACGCTCTGCGCGTCCGCGGCTCCGAAATCCCCAAACACATGCTGGCTGATGTGTTCTCCAGCAGGACGACGCACATGGAGCCAGAGGAAGGAGTGGTTTAAATCCTGCACAGCTTTTACATCATTTATGTTCTCTTTGGTGTCATTGTCTCCCCTGGTTTGGTTCAAGTTTACATGTCTTTTTTAATGGGATTTGACATGTTTGATATGTTCTGGCTTTTTGTTTTTTGTTATTACAGTAAAAATGCTGTTACAATAGACAATAGAATTTTTTTCAGTGATAAAGATCTGATGACTTCATTTGTTTTGCATGAATAAAAGAATTCTATGCCAAATATGTCATGTTCTCATAGTTTTTTAAGCTGCTTTGATAGTGTGTGTTTATTTTACTTTCTCTATCACACACAGATAATCTAAGGTAGAACCATTGGCTGCCTGCACTCACTGCATACTGAACATGTGACCTTTGTACATTGTACGTGCCTATTCTGTGGCTGGCACACACAACCCACTGAGTCCTCATTCTACCCTCTTTAAACAATCCTCACCTCGCTGCTATCACGTACATTCTGAATCAGGTTTGGAGCATATTTAGACCACTTTCTGGCTGATATCCTGCTGTTTTCTCATCGACTGATTGTGGTTATGATATGCCTGCGTAATATATAATCAGTAACAGAAGCCCTTGTTCAGAATTAATTAATTTGAAAGAAAATTATCAATATGAGGTCCGGTTGTGCTTAAAGGCTTGTAATTGCTAATCTATGAGAATATCATTGGGGGCTTTATGATGTAATTTCTGTCTGATTGATTCTGCTTCAGATATAGGGATGTAAGACAGTTGACATTTTGCTGATCAATAGTTTTATAGTCATACACAAATAAGATCATCTGTCATTTCATTCCTTTCGATGTTCTTTTCAGAGATGTGACAGAATATAATGAGTTCAAGTGTTATACGAGTCTGCCATCTAGTGGCCAATGTCCGTACTACCGATATATATTATAAGAGCAAATGCTTATCCATAAAACAGAAACAATCTTGAAGAAACAAGATCAAATGAATTCAATATTACTACAGATTATAAATATACACTGTATAAAATAAATTACAATGCCTGCGTTGAAAAAATTCAACCGCCGGGCTTTTTCTGATTTGCTTTTTGTTGCATGAATCTACATTACATTAGGAAATGTCGTGCACTAAAGGTTGTCCAAATACTATTCATTGATTTATTTACCTGTTTTATTTATATTTATTTGTTTTTTGTCTTTATTATTATTATATTTAGTTATTTACCTTACAGATAAACATTTATTTTTACCATTGATTACCATATTTATCTATCCTCTTTTCCTCCTTCTTCTAACTCTCGCCCATACCTGTTTGCACTCTCCTATTCTGATAATATATGCTGTAAAATACTTATTTTCATGTTTCAAAACATTACAAAACATATTAGCACTTAAATGTTTTTTTTGCCAAAAGACATTAAGTGCTCTTCATATTTAACACCAGAAAGGGGATCTAGATTGATTTAATCCATTCTGCCACCCAGCTCTTTTTCTCTCCACAGTGTGGCTTTACTAAGTATAAAGGCTGCGCTCTGTGATAAAGAGCTCAGTTCAGCCCACAAAACAGAGTCTTGTCCATCAACTAGCCACTGAATGAAAGGAACACTTGGATGTGTGGGAAGGAGGTTGAAAAGACTCTGCTCTGGGGTCTCCTCTTATTCATTCCCTCACTTGCATAAACAAAGCAAGACTTGTCAGGATATTATTGGTGTCTAAAAATATGCAAAAATAACATGCATTTTTGCACCCAAACAATTAGTTGACCTACATATTATTGACAAAAAACTATTGGGATAGTGTGCAATGCAGAGACATACACTTTAAAAGGGATTACATTGTGCATTTCTAATGTATATTTATTTCTCTACATCTTTGTGTTGTGTGCATTTCAATAGGTTACACATAAGTAAAAACAAGTCATTATATTTTAAAGTTTTGCCGACAAAATAAGTTAATGTTAGTCTTATGTTTTTTGGACAATCAAAACAAGCCAATTCACAGTACGATGTAAACCAAAGACAGTACTGTATAAAGGATGGAAAGAACCCTCTGATTTCCCAATAGATTCAAGCCATTACATTGGCCCTCTGATTGGTTGATTGGAACCAGCCCTTTCATTAGCTGCTGACAATATCCATTTTATTATCCTGATTGGTCTATTGTAACAAGCATTTTGATAGGCTGATTGTAGATTGAACTGCAACAACATAACAGGACAGTTATGTTTGCATGTTTTCCCTTTGCTTTCAATTATGATAGAACAAAAAAAAGCTTACTTTGTAATTGATAATTAATGCATGAAAAGGTTGAATGTGCAAACTCACATAATGATAATGAGGCCATTCCTAGAGTGCTACATAATACGTTTAAGTGTAGTATTGTTTATCTGCCTTTAACAGAGTTTGACGTAGAACGACAGCTTTTTTGTATGTGTTTTTAACACAATATTTTTATTTAACTCCACCAGCTACATATATGACAATAAACACAGCGTGCGCATAGAGCAGTGTGCATCCTGCCTGCTGCGGTTGTGAGGCGGGCTGAAGGAGTCTGGAGTCAAATTCCAGAACACGTAGGAGCTCCTCGCGCTGCTCCAACACGACGCACAACGAATGGGCGCAGCAGCGAATAACGGATTGCAGATCAACTCATCGATGAGACACTTTCACACTCATTACTTCTGCATTTCCAACATTTACCACTGGATGATTTTCCAACAACACATGAAGACCATTTATCTCCAGACCGTGTATTCAAATACGCAACTGGACCCACTTGTTTGCCGCAGAGGAGACAACGCATTGGATCAATACTTGCGTCAGGAAATGTTTATTATGGACAAAGGAACGCGTGTAAAAAAGCCGGCTTCACATGTCATTCCAAAGTTGGAGAGAAAATAACAGCCTGGGTTCATTTTTCCACAACGGAAATAAGATCAGTCGCATTGCTTGGCTCCTCTTCTACTAAAACATGGTCGATGTAACTCCATAGTGCCGGGATCTGACATTCTCTGCCCACTAACAGCTAGTTGTTAATGGAAAGATGTTTGCTGGACTAATGGGGCTGGGATGTCACAGTAACTCTCTGCTTCACTGCGAAGTCATGGAAGGTAAAACAAACTTATTTTCTACAGCTTCTGTTTCTCACGAAAACCATAGATCTGATGCAGAAGGGAAGATGTTGGGGATTATGAAGGCTATCTTAAATATTCCCATGGTTCTTAACATGACTTTGAAAGTAAATACAAACCTAATAATAAGTCATTGGAAATGAGAATAAACTAGAAAGAAGAAAATACAATAATACAATACAAAGGAGCTTTATTGGCATGACCACATCAAAAAACACAACATTGCAAATAACTATAAAGGGTACTTATATAAAAGCTTACAGTGGTCACTGGATCTGAATACTGTATTCACCTCTATTAACCGGTCTAACTAGTCCAAAACAATACCTGCTTTTTGCCCTTTGTTTCTCATTCAGGTCATATAGTTCAAAGGGTCCCTGACAGTCAGTGATGATTGCAAAGTAACAAAATACTTGTGAAAGATTTGTTTCCCTCAAATGACAATTTAGAGTGGTACAGTATGAGCACCCAGCTGTATATGATCTATCTTGCGTAACTTATTTGCATTTGCGCCCACTGTTAGATATTTCAGTTTCTGATAGGATGCCTGTAATAACTTGGCATGCTTAAACTTTCTATAATCAAGTTATAACCTTAGTGTGTTTGAATCTTTACAGTAGCTGCACATCTTTCAACAGTGACACAGGTTGGCCCTTCTTGTCTTCATGTTTTAGAACAATATTCTTGTCAAACATGTAACCAGTGTGAAAGTACAGCTAACCAACTCCATATATAGGATTACTTCAGCATCTAAAAGAAAGACCAGCCTTCTTACACATATTGTTCACATAAAAAAATAGGTTATAAACAGCATCTAAAGTCAAAATGACTCATTTCGTATGATGGATGTTGACGTTAAAAGGTAATGCAATTAAAAAGAGATTAAATCATATTTTAGTATTGTGGGTGTAGTCATTTTAACCACGCCAGTCTTTTTCCTCGCTGCTTTGTCTTCACTCCACTAAGCTCCACCATATTCAGCTAATTTATGATCCTCGTGTGACCAAACAGGAAGTGCAGAGCTGTTTTTATTTTTAAAGTCTCACCAGAGCAATGCAGCGAAGGTCTTACATTAGTACAGTTTCCTGTCAGCCACTAAATACATTTTCCAGATAGATAGAATTACTTCTTGGGTCACCATCTGTCATATTCACGGTCCAAAGACTTTCACTTCCTTATTCCTGTTGCTGTGGTCGGTCACAAGTGGCGAAGTGTTGCACATCTGCCGAGCAGCACTGCTTCTCAGGAGGCTGCTGACATGTAGATCTGCTGGTGTGTGTGTGTGTGTCTGAGGGTGCTGCTGAGCTTGTTCCTCAAACATTTGTGTTTTTATGAGATCCTCTGCATTCCTCTTCTCTGTGGCCGAAGCTCTTTCAGCAGCCAATGGGATGTTGTGTTTAACCTGAGGGCTCCGAGGAGGGCCTGTTTAATCTCCCAAAGGTAAATAATCCGGCCTCCTCTGTCTGAACGCTTCGTTTTCCCACACTTTGTACAGAGGTTCCTCAGAATTAGCCAGTTTCAACTAGAAAGTTGTAATTGTCGCAGTGTGGATTATTCAGACTCCAGATTTGAACTACCTTTAGTCCTCCCTGGCTTGTTTGTGGTTTCCAGATGTGTGGACTCGAGTCACATGACTTTTCATCGAGTAAGACTACTACTTTTACAACAATGAATCTCATCTTCTCTTGAGCTTTTTACTTACAAATAATAATGCCTTCCCCCAAGTCCATATATTTAAAAGTAAGTTATTTAAAGTGTGCACCAAATCAATACAAGCTTACACTTTCGCTATTCATTCAAAGCAATTTGACACTGGATTTCCCTGATACACTTTGTTTGACCCAACGCTATCCAATCAAGATGCAGGAATAGAACTATAAAAACCTAACCTTGGTTAGCAGCATTATGCCAAATGTGCTGATCGGAGGTTATGGACTGGGGCCGCATTATGTCTTGTTTAGGACTGAAACTGAAAGTTCAGGACTTGGGACTTGGCGGTCTTTAATGGGGACTAACTTCTGACTTGCAAAAACAATGACTTCATCCCACCATTAGCTGTTTCTGCCGGAATTCCTGACAAACTATTTCGGCACAAAGCCTGGCAGGAAGCAGCAAATGACATACCTCTGAAGGGCTTCAACCGAGAAGTAGATGCCCCCAACACACACACAGACAGACATGCACAATGGGCCCTGAGGCATTTCCTTCCCCTTTTGTGAGAAGAGCCCTCTTTGTGTAATCGAAGCATTCTGAGGATACAGTAGCACGTTCGATCAACAAGTCCTTTCCCTTTCAATTCCTGGGCTTTTTGACAATGTGGAGTAGCTACATATTATATTTCTTGTCCACACCAGATGGTAGACGGTTGTCTTTGGTACTGAGGATAGTGTTGGGTTACTTAAATTGGTTATGGAACAGTGGCCACGTCTGCATTGAAACACTAATGGAGCTGCTTGTAACCTGAGCTTGTAGCGCACAGGGGTCCCAGTGGACAGAAGACTCTAAGCACACATACATGGGTACCAAAGGAACCCCCCTATGTTACCCTTGCTAAAAACCTTGCCTTCCCATCAGCCTAACATCCAAACTCTCCCTTAAGTGGTGTCCTTTTGTGTCTCTTCCTCTCCAGTCACATGGGAGGATTAGGAGTGACATCACTCGAGGTCATGGGTGTCTCTTGTTTCTTTGTAGTGGTCTTGGTTTGTTTGATGCCCTGCATTCCTGTCTTGATATACAGCTAGACACATACTTTAAAATAACTGTGATAGTAATACAACATTTAAAAAAAAGTGTAACAGGGTTTTACAATGATAGTAGTCTGAATGCCCCCAGTGTTTCACTATAAGCCCATGTGTCAGTGTGTGTGTCTGTGTGTGTGTGTGTGTGAGTGTGGGAAGAGAAAATTGAGAGCCAGAAGTGGAAGAGAGAGCGGCGCAGCTGTACACAAAGGGGCTGTTGATACCCAACGTTTCAGCGTGTCTCCCTCTCTGAATCCTACACATGATATGTGGTATTAATCATGTGGAGCTGCAGCAGGTGCTCTGAAGACACACTTTAACATCCTGCTCCATGTTCAGTTCAAATTCTGTTTACACTGATGTTTTACCCTCATTGTTAAGATTGGCCAAATCTATTGCAGTAGTATTTCTTTCATGGCCCGCCCATCATAAAGCGTTGATATTTTAGTCATTGAGTAACAATATTAGGGAAATTAGTTACATTATTAAGAACATGGACTGCATGTTTCTTTACATTGCTCTGCTGTCCAAACACAAATTAAACTTTTTCCAATATCCAAATTTGTTGCACACAAACAGTAAACTTAAATGTTTCTGTTTTGGCCCTAATCTGAACCTCTCAATTTCAAAAGCTGCACTGATCAATACTATGTATCAAATCAAATAACAATGAATCAAATGACTGTTGCATAAGTAATGAGAGTTGCCAATATACACAAACTCAACTATAAGGGCTCTCGGACCTCCGTCAAAGCTTTTGTCTTAAGTGAAAAATAATGCGTCTTGTGCTTTATCAAAGTGTACTGGTACTATACTTAAAGCTTGTTCCATTACCCCAAGTCTTTCTTACTTTCCCTGTAAACGTCCAGCCTCTAATACACAATGTTGCACCCCACAGAAAGAGAGTTTGTCATTTTGCTATCTTTAAATTAAATCTTAAAAGCCTTGCAAACATCAGAGCAGTCTGAGAACCTCTGGACTAGGTCAACATGGCTGTGTTTTCAAGGATAAACCAATTCAAATGTAACTTAAACAAATATTGTTCATGTTGGCCATTCCTCCACTGAGAGGCGTATCTCAACTCAAAATGACTGTGTGGCTTTGGTATTTCCCAACAGCTGGAACAGAACTCTGGGAACTGTCTGACATCTGCCAAAGTTGTTTGTCATTCAGTTAACAAAGTTAGCTTTAACAGCAAAGCCTGGGATAAGTCATTTTGGTCATATCACATCCATTTCTTACAATCTGATATTTTTTCCATTCTTGTGAAATTGGCACATTTTCCTATGAGCTCACTCTTTACCTTCCTAATGACTGTGTTGTCCAGCTTAATGATTGATATCTGCATTTACAGGTGGCAGAGCATCAGGGACAGCCGGCAGCTCCACTCGTAAGAGGCTCCATCGAAGACCAGGGTACATGAGAGGAGAGCAGTCCAGACTACAGAGCACTTTTAATGGGCAGGAGGAGGAGCAGGAAGAGGAGGAAGAGGAGGAAGACGAAGGGAGGACCACTTGCATTAGGAATGGGAAATCTGGGCGTCACACTGCCATCACTCAGGGGACCAGTGCACAAAGGATGAGTCTAACCCCTGCTGTCAAGGTGTCTGTAATAAATCAGCTTCAGCCTGATAAAGTCACATGTGGATCCTGGAAAAGTACGAGTTTTCTCTGCTCTGGAACTCGTCATTTTCCCCATGTGGACTACAGTGCCATTAATGGTACATCCAGCCATCGGGGTCCATCCTCTTTGTCCCAGAATGAACTCAGTTTTAGCCCGAGCCCAGCACTCCAGTCCTCAGCACAGGACTCCTTTAACTCCAGCTTCAGTTTTATCCAACAGTCTCTAAACACCAGCCAGAAGACATATTCAACCACTGCCACACCACCCAGGGGACCAGAACCCCTATATCAGTCAACTCATGCACCTAGTTCACCTCAATCAAAACCAGCAACCTTATCCATTGTGCACAATGTCTCAAAACAGTCAACTCCTTTCCAATCACTGCCCTCCTCCTCCCCAGGTAGCCAGGCAAAGAGAGAGGAGCTGACATTAGGCAGTAGGTTTTGGCGGGAGTGTCAGTGGGGTGGCAGGGGGGCTACGCCTGACCAGCTTGAATGTGACTCCCCAGTTCTGGACATAGAGATCATCTCCTCACTGTCCTTGGACTCAGACACCGCCTCCGCCTCTTCCGTCACCTCAGGTTATGAGAGCGCTACGCCTGTCTCCGAGCAAGGCTGGGACAACCTGGTGAAGAAGTATGAGGGTGTGCTGCAAGACTGCCTCCAAAACAACCGCACTCACACTAAGGTAGGCATGATGTGAGCTTGGGATGCAGGGCTGTTGTCACAATAGCCTTATTGAGTTTAAGTCAATTCCAAGATCAGGTTCAGAGTCAGAGTACTAAGGCATCTCAACATTTTATTTTTTGCACATCAAATGTAAGGGTACCACTTTACAATAAGACTTCCCTTATAAAGGATTCATAAAGGGTTTATAATTATGCTGTAAACACTTTATTAATCAATAAGAACCATTTGTAAACCAGTTCTAACATAGTTTTCATACATCAACATAGGCTCACTATTTGGCAAGATGACTAAGCCTTATATCGGCTACTTGGCGAGAATCAACAGATACCAAGGATGCTGGCTGATGAAGAAGACGAAGTAAGCTAAGTAGCCAATATAAGGCTAATAGCAGTACAGATAAATGTGGGCTCACTATTTGGCAAGCAACCGGTCACAGTTGCTCTGTTTATCTCATGTCATATAAAAGCTTATTAATTATTTAATAAATGAATTACAAACTATTCGTAAACCCTTTATAAGGGTAGTCTTATTGTAAAGTGGTACCCAAATGATATACCTTGTTTGTATAAATCCTAAAAAGACTGAAAAGCAGTAAGAAAGTTGAAGAGAGTTAAAAGTTGGTGAACCCTGGTTTTGTCGTTGCGCTAAGCTAAGCTAAGCTAAAAAGCTGCTAGCTTAACACGAGAGAGAGGTATTAGTTTTTCAAATCTGACTAAGCAAGACATTTTACGAGAATTTGTTCAATAATGTCAAACTATTTCTTTAAGAGCATGAGCCAGCTACGGTAATAGTGTAGGCCAACGTGTTATTTTTTAATGATAAAGCTCACCACATATCACACATCTGCAGCTCTACACTACTCTATGTTTAAACACCAAACTTCTTACAAACAAGACTTTGTCCAAAATTACATAGAAAAGAGTGAGTTTAACCATCTCAGTTTTAATGTGATGAGCCTACTGACAACAAATAAGAATAAACAATGATTGGCCATTTCAAAACAAATGTTTTCATATTCATCTTTGACATCTCTTTGATGTCCTAATCCCCAATTTGAGAGGATTTTACAAGCCAAACCAAACAAGTGAAATCCCTCAAATTGTGTGTTGTAGACAAATGAGAAGGTACAGGAAACGTTGACATTAAAAACACCAACATATTTCTATTAGTGTTACCTGATGAGATGCACTCTAAATAGCAATATTTAGTGACGATATTGAGGTTTTAAACTTCCTAGATTTACCTAGACCACAAATAGCTGACGTGGTGTCAAATTGAAATTATGGTCATTCCCCCTTCACTCTCTTTGCCTTGTGGTGACAGTTTAAAGAGCATTGCCCTCTGGATTGTTGCATCATATGTTCTGTCTTCAGTCTATTGTGTGTCGCTTTTCAGATTGAGTCCATGATGTTAAAGCTGCAGAGGCTCCAGCAGAAAGCCATTTTGGATGATGACTATGATGCAGGTGAACTTGAGCCTTTCAATTGAGCCGTTTTTTTAATGATTAAGTAGGCCATTTCTGAACAGTGTTGTTGTTAGTCTTAATTTTGAATAGTCAAAAGTAAATTAATGTAACTTGTGACATAGTTTCAGCAGCTTCACATACAGTTCTCTTTGGGATTCTCAATTTATTTCAAGGTATTACTGATTTGTTCAGTCAGGACCCAGGCATTCATCTGTTTGACATTTTAGTAGAGAGAGGTAATGGGAAGTAATTCAGTCGCTTTTATTGGATTTCTTGCTAACTGATAGTTATTGATCAAACTATGCTTTTGATAAAGCATGCAAGGCTGCACATTAATTCAAGCTGAATAAATGGTTTGTTGTGAACTGAGCGACTCACTGATATACTATCTTGACTAATGTGTCCTATCATGTCTACTATTAGAAGTTAGTACAAATGATAACTCTGGTTTGATGATTAGTTTATCAGTCAAGCTGAAACTAACCCTATAAGTGTTCTTTCTCTATCCAAAGCTGGAGTGTTGACTTGTCCGTATGTCCACATGTCAGTGCTCACACATCAGATAAATTAGCCAAGTTAAACTGGAGATTGTGAAACTAAGGAAAGTAGCCCAGAATGCATGCATGGGCTTTCCTGGGTTGTTTTAACTTTGAAGACTGCATGGGATAAATCCACAGTTTGTTGAACCAATGAAATGTAATCTTCTTTTACTGAAATGTTGTAGACAAGAAATAATAGGATTTTCTTGCTGATGTAGATCTTAATGTTTTGCCCTCCGATGGCTTTTTGGGAGCCAAACAGAAAGGTGCATTTAAAAAAAAAAAAAGGGCTCAGAAATGAAGCATTCTGAAAGTTTAAATTATAGGAATGATATCTTCTTGGAAAAAGCAAGCAGAGAACTGTTTAGTAGCGAAAGTCTCTCTAAGTTTCTTCTAGTGAAGGTATCATTTTGTAATTAAATAATTAGTGATTTTGAATGCCTATGTTTTTTTTAGTGAATGAGGCATAAAGTATGCGTTATAATTTAGAGAGTAATCTGATTTCTGTAGTCACATCAAGTTTCTACACGGACTCTCAGAATTGAAGATAGTTTCTAATAACAAAACCTTTTGGCCAATGTTGCTGCCTGTTATTCAGTGTGTGTGTTTGTGTTTTCAGCTGAACGTTTTGGGAAAAAGCTGGAGGAGCTGTGCAGGGAGCGAGGCGCTCTGAAGCTGGGTCTGCCCTCCAGACAGCCCAGCGTGGCTCTGTTCCTGGAGCGGCTCAGACAGGTGGTGCACAGCGCCCTCCAGAGGGCGGACTGCAGTCAGTGCAGGTCAGTCACAAAACAATTACTTTAGCTGCATTATCATTGAACACAAGACTCACACTGCTGTAACACCAAGTTGGATATGAGCAGCATGATGTGTGGTGACAGAATTAATATCACAGCATTCAAAAGCTACTGTTGTGAAACTGAAGTAAAAATGTTCTCCCTCATGACATATGAGAGAGAGAGAGAGAGAGAGAGAGAGAGAGAGAGAGAGAGAGAGAGAGAGAGGAGAGGAGAGAGAGAGAGAGAGAGAGAGAGAGAGAGAGAGAGAGAGAGAGAGAGAGAGCGAGAGAGAGGAGAGAGAGAGAGAGAATGACTTTTTTTAGCGAAACGTGAAGTGAAATTAAGTACTAAATGTGACCGGATAAAAAGAAAATATTCCCTGTTATGCTTTCAATTTCAGACATATTCAGACTTGTGCCATGTTAATTATCACACATTTGATACTATAACATAGTGATTATTTGCACAATAAAACAAAGCACCAGATACAATTTGTTCTGGTGAGATTTATTTTAAAACAGGGTCTTATAGAATGAATCTCATCTCACTAGGAAGTATAAGCAGCCAGTTTTATGGGTAAAATTTGATTATAAACTCGGTCATGTGATCATGATCATTATTATGTCGTAGGACAGAGCATTTTGAGAGGGAAGACAAAAATAGCTCTTGCAACAGGAAGGAAATCAGTTGGGGCCTCTCTAGAGGGTATCCTGGACAAATGTAACCTCAAGCAGCGATGCCGTGTTTTCCACACATATTTGAATCTAAAAAAACATGCTCCCAAAGATTTAAGGTCACCTCTGTTAGACATTCTTCCATTCTATTTAATTGGGGCTGAAAAGCTAGAAGGAAAAGCAGCACGAAATTGGGTTCAATTAGATTTAGTGATATATAAAGGAACACGTTTTAATGTCCCAGTACACAGTACACAACCACATAAGCTCAACTCAAGACCTTGAAATGTGAAGAAGGTTAGAATTGTTTTAAAATATATTTAAAAAACATTGCTGAGGTTTGACTGTATTTTTTGGGGACTGGTTGTCAGGAAGGATGTGGAGCAGGATGCAGGGGAGAGGTCAGAATCATCACACGGTCCACTGCATCAAAAAGATCGCCTGATCCAGGAGAAACGGCTGATAGAGGTAAAATTAGCTCACATTATGTCATTAAGGCTTACAATGGTATTTTCTGACACTATGTGGAACACCTGTGTAATACAATACTGATAAATGCTAAAAACATATAGAAAGACTTCTAGTTGTGTTTAATTGCAGGGTAAGGAAAGTTTGTGTACTTGAATATAGTGCCAAATGTACTTGTTAGGATAGTTAAACTACAGTTAATTCAATTTAGTTTGATATGCTGATTTTAAAACAGACTATAAAAACTTCTTAAAAACAGGAACTATTTTTCCAACTAAAACTGAACTATTATAAGAAGTTGAACTATATCCTGGATAACAGCCAGAGAACAGAACTATCATTGATAAGTACCTGATAATGAACACCAGGATCATTAATGAAACCTGTGCAGGTGGAGATAGCAGAGCTGCAATGGAGGCTGACGGAGCTGAGGGACCATAGCCGAGGCCTGGAGCAGCAGATCCAGCAGGAGGCGCAGCAGGTGGAGGCCGAGGAGCTGGAGGGCTCCGTGCTGCAGGGCCGCACCGTAGCCCAGCTCCGCGACATGAGCCGAACCCTGCAGGACCTCGTCACCTCTGAAAACCGCACGCAGATCACCGTCTCACCTTCAGCCTCCCTACTCAGGTCAGCCTCACATGATTCGTGCTGAATATTTTCTGTTGACTTTTGCATCAAATCACTGCACATACAGTTTTAGTGTGCAATCCGAAAAACTGTATGCACACGTTAAGTGATTGATTACATGCTTAAATAACTAGTAGATGCCCAAGAAGAAAATATAAAGAATAATTCTAAAATAATTTAAAACATATTTTTACATTAATGCTTATTCTGATTAGAATGATTGTGGAAGACATTTGTTCTGATTAAGATGAATTATTATAGACATAAGCTACTGTTCCCTGGCACAAAACTACATTTTAAGATAATGTCTTAATTTCAATGCAATCAGTGCATGAGAAACTCAAATTCAAATGAGGAAACATCTCTTGACATACGTTTCACAGGGTTTTGATGAACAGAGAGTATGTGCACCTGCTCTACATAGTCCATCACTATTGGGAAAATTAGCAAATGTAGGTGGAAAATGTAATTGTCACATTGTGCCTTGGGAGTGTATTGTGAAGAAACATCTTCACACATTATTGTTAAGTGTCTTCCTATTGGTCACTGGAAACAAGCGTTGATTGGATGAGACTATACAGCATAACTCGAAAAACTAATCACTGGATTTAAATTATTTATGCGTTTCTGTCTTCATCATTTAACGTAATACTTTTACTGCTGGGTAGTTTTATTCATTATATCACAACATATATTATTAGTTGAGTTATATGGAAAATGTTTGTAGAAAATGTAAATACTCAAATGAAGTAGCTGAAATGTATACTTAAGTACAGTATACTTTAGCCAGTTACAATCTACAACTGGCTAAAGACTCCACTTGAAGTTTAATGTATTGTTAATTATTTCTATGAATAGATAAGTAAATGATTGTTATGTTAGGTTCTGTATATATTAATATACATAATGAATCATATGAGACAAAATACACTTCAACTATATGCTCACAGTCCTGGTCAGGTTTTTCTTTGACAGTAAATGAAAGTCAGGTGTACTAATTTCTTATCATCCAGTTGACAGTTCTCACAGTTCCTGCAGTACTGTCAGTCACCAGGTGGGGCTGATGTAGAGCTGCAGTGGTAATAACAAAACACCAATCCTCAGTCCTAGGATGTTTTCCCTGTATCAAGTCATTTACTTTCCTATCATAAAACTAGCTCTTTTGGAGGAGGATGTGTCAAAGTAGTTCCTATTTCGCAAAATCTTTGCTTCCCAGCCTTAGCTGCCCTGCAACAAACGATATTCTCTTGTCAAGAAAGTACAGCAGAGTCAAAAAGCACACCGTCATGTTTAAACCCAATTAAAATCTAAATTAAAAGCATAGAGAAGCTTATGAAATTAAAGTGGGGAATACATATGTAGTATTTCCACATAAAAAAAACAAAATTGCACACTCTTGTGCAATTTATGTTTGGGAGGGGTGCACTTGCAATTTTTGTAGAAATCTAAGGCCAATAAACGTATACATATATAATATTTTGTTTGTATTCAGGTTCAAAGAGGACACATTAAGCAGCCACAACCTCATTTTTCTTTATTCCACCCATTCCATGCTGTGCCCTCAATCCTCTTCTCTCACACCTGCTTGAACCTGCTTTGAATTTTAATGGTTTTTCTCAGATGCAAATGATTATTTTGCATCATATCCTCTGAAGTTAATAGCTTGCAACAGAGCACCGTGGAAAGCCTCTCTGTCTTGCCACTCATTAAAAAGACATGTAAATTGTACTTATCACCTTCTCGGTGGCGTGACCCACCCTCCCAGGCATCATTTGATATCTGACATATTCTTTCCCCAACTGGAAAGCATTTATTCTTGATGCTGATTGAAATTGCGGCCTCAGATTGGATATTAAGCTGCACATCTCCAGGTGTCATCCTTTGGGTCATTGCGATTGTTGTGCTTCCAGTTCCCTTTCCAAATAACACATCACATAAAGATTTATTTCCTAACTGGATTAAATAAATCCACCCTCTTCAGAGGAGCTGCATCCCTGAAATAAGGTGCAGTAATACTGATGTCCAGAGACAACATCTGAATATGACTCAACCTGAATATCAGCATGAATAACATAAAAAGGGCACACACATTTTGTGATACGAATGGTTTGGGACCTCAAGGTGACTGCATAATGGATTTTATGCTCATTTTACCCCATCTTCTAATTGATTTATATCACTGTCACGGAATAATGTGACCTTAATGGTTTGTCTTGTTTACATTCATTTACAGTAATAGCATCTCTGACATTACCCTTGATATCTGAAACTATCATCTAGATCTGCAGGTCTCCCTCGAAAAAGAGATCATTGATCTCAATGGGATTTTACCTGGATAAATAAAGGTTTTGAAAGACCAGCGGTTTTCAAAGTGTGAGGCACGCCTCCCCCTCTGTAAGAAGGTGTCGGCGACTGACATGCAAGGAAGAACGGCTGTCCACAGGCTGTTCCAACTTTAACAACTGTATTAACTTCCAGGGTAGTGAATTGAACATGCAATTGTAATTGGGTGTGTGTGGTATATTTTCATGCACGGACACGCATGTTCCACAACACACAAACTGAACAACTGTGGTGACACATTATTAGTACATAATTCACCGTGTGTGTTGCAACCCGGACCCGTTAGTGAGGGTACTGGGGTTGTTGTCATTCATGCTAGCTTGTCATACAGAGCAGCACATGTAGGCTACTTACCGTGTCTCGATTAACGGATAATAAAGTGTGGAAGTCCATTCTGAATACACCGCCTCTGACTCCCTTTCATCGGCTCTACACTGGTAACCCTGACGTTTTCGTGAAAGTTTCCGAAGACTTAATGAACATGGCTGATCGCGATGTTTTTGTTAAACTGCCGGAGTTTTGGGAGCATGCTGCTGCGGCGTGGTTCGCTCACGTGGAGGCACACTTTGCCTGCCGACAAGTCCGTGACGGGGACTTGAAATATTTCCACGTGGTAGCTGCGCTGGGAAGCTCCACATCATCCAGGTTAGTGGGATTTATCGCAGACCCCCCACACCATGGTAAATATGAGGCGATTAAGGCCCTTCTCCTTAAGACATTTAGCTTATCTGCTAAGGAGAGGGCCCGCCAGATTCTTGACATTCAAGGCCTAGGAGACAGCAAGCCATCTCAGCTAATGGAGAAAATGCTAAATCTGCTAAAGGGGGGAACACCCCCGGATTTTGTTCATGGAGACGTTCCTGCGCCACTTGCCTTCCCGGGTTCAGACGGCGCTAGCCAACACGTCCATTACGGAGCCCCGTGCCTTGGCTGAAGAGGCCGACCTTTTGCAGAGGCGCTAGCTGTGACGCTCAGCGCCCCCTCAACAGTTAAGAAGGCTTGGGGGAGGCTGGACGTGACGGTACCAAGCCGGCGTGGGGACACAGGAGAGTGTCTTTACCGCGTGCGGTTCGGGGCCAGGGCGAAGAAGTTTGTCGCTCCCTGCAGTTACAAACCTCCGGGAAACGGAGGAGCCGGCACTCAGTAGTGGCCCTGAGCGTTGGCGGCACGAGCAGGCTTCTCTTCGTCAGCGACAGAGTCTCAGGAAGCTTGTTTCTGTGTAACACAGGCGCTCAACGGAGTGTGGTTCCTGCGTCGAGGGAAGACGTCGCTCGTGGGGGACACGGACCATGGTTGACGACGGCTAATGGCGGCCCCATTCGCACGTACGGCGTGAGGCCTATGTGTTTGTGTATTGGAGGACAGCGGTTCAACTGGGATTTGACGGCAGACATTTATTTTCCCCTCCTCGGGGCAGACTTTTTATGTGCTCACGGACTCCTGGTGGACGTTAAAAATAAAAAAAACTTTTGGTTGATGCCTTGACGTTTTCCTCCCTCGTGTGTACACTTGGCAAGGCGGCATACGATGGGCTGATGGGCTCGCTGTCGGGGGCGGACATTTTTCTCAGGCTGTTGGCTGAATTTCCAGACCTGACGCTACCCACCTTCTCCGCGCTCACCACCAAGCATGGGGTGGAGCACAACGTCACCACCGAAGGTCCCCCAGTCTACGCCAGGGCCCGGCGGTTGAACCCTTCTAAGCTTGCAGTAGCAAGGGCAGAGTTTTCAACTGGGTATCGTCCGCCGGTCTGATAGTCCTTGGGCCTCTCCTCTGCATGTCGTTCCCAAGCCGAACGGCGGTTGGCGCCCGTGCGGGGATTACCGCCACCTCAACGACGCCACAATACCTGATGCCCAGTGGTAGCATTCAAGACTTTTCAGCACATCTGGCCGGTACGTTGGTGTTTTCTAAAGTGGACCTGGTGCGCGGATACCACCAGGTGCCCATGCATCCCCTGGACGTTCCCAAGACGGCAGTGATAACGCCGTTTGGACTTTTCGAGTTCCTGCGGATGCCCTTCGGGCTCAAGAACGCCGCTCAAATGTTCCAGCGCCTGATGGATTCGGTGCTACGGGACCTGCCGTTTGTGTTCGTCTACCTGGACGACATACTCGTCGCCAGCGCTTCGGTGGAAGAGCACCTGTCACACCTCCGAGCCCTTTTCACGAGGCTCAGCCAACACGGGTTGATAATCAATCCTGCAAAGTGCCAGTTCGGGGTGTTTGACATTGACTTCCTCGGACACTGCGTCACCAAAGGCGGTGCAGCACCCCTGCTGGCGAAGGTTGAGGCTGTTGCGGCGTTTCCTCGACCACTCACAGCCCGGTCGCTCCGTGAGTTCCTGGGGATGGAGACTTTCTACCACCGTTTTATCACCTGTGCCGCACACATTATGCGGCCGCTGTATGAGGCTTTGAAGGGTACAACCCCCATCCAGGCGATCAACTGGACGGCGGAAGCTGAGTTTGCTTTTACGGAGGTCAAGACCGCGTTGGCTCAGGCGGCCCTGTTGGCGCACCCGTCTTCCACGGCTCCCATCTCCGTTACCACAGACGCATCGGAGTACGCCGTTGGTGCGGTGCACGAGCAGTGGGTGGAGGGCGCTTGGCAGCCACTCGCCTTTTTCAGCCGTCAGCTGACGCCCAGGGAACGCA